GCAACTCAACCCTCCTCAGTTACCCAGCAACACAGCCTTCTTCAGCAACCAGATATGCAGCAACACAAACCTCCTCAGTAACCAGATACCCAGCAACACAACCCTCCTCAGCTACCCAGCAACACAGCCTTCTTCAGCAACCAGATATTCAGCAACACAACACTCCTCAGTAACCAGATACCCAGCAGCTCAACCCTCCTCTGCTACCCAGCAACCCAGCCTTCTTCAGCAGCCAGATACCCAGCAACACAGCCCTCCTCAGCAACCAGTTACCCAGAAACACAACCTTCTTCAGCAACCAAATACCCATCAACACAGCCCTCCTCAGCAACCAGATACCCAGCAACACAACCCTCCTCAGCAACCAGATACCCAGCAACACAACCCTCCTCAGTAACCAGATACCCAGCAACTCAACCCTCCTCAGCTACCCAGCAACACAGCCTTCTTCAGCAACCAGATATACAGCAACAAAACCCTCTTCAGTAACCAGATACCCAGCAACACAACCCTCCTCAGTAACCAGATACCCAGCAACTCAACCCTCCTCAGCTATCCAGCAACACAGCCTTCTTCAGCAACCAGATATGCAGCAAACACAACCCTCCTCAGTAACCAGATACCCAGCAGCTCAACCCTCCTCTGCTACCCAGCAACACAGCTTTTCAGCAGCAGCCAGATACCCAGCAACATAGCACTCCTCAGCAACCAGATACCCAGCAACACAGCACTCCTCAGCAACCAGATACCCAGCAACACAGCACTCCTCAGCAATCAGATACCCAGCAACACAGACTTCTTCAGCAACCAGATACCCAGCAACACAGCCTTCTTCAGCAACCAGATACCCAGCAACACAGCACTCCTCAGCAATCAGATACCCAGCAACACAGACTTCTTCAGCAACCAGATACCCAGCAACACAGCCTTCTTCAGCAACCAGATACCCAGCAACACATCACTCCTCAGCAACCAGATACCCAGCAACACAGCCCTCCTCAGCAACCAGTTACCCAGCAACACAGCCTTCTTCAGCAACTAGATACCCAGCAACACAGCACTCCTTAGCAACCAGATACCCAGCAACACAGCACTCCTCAGCAACCAGATACCCAGCAACACAGCACTCCTCAGCAACCAGATACCCAGCAACACAGCACTCCTCAGCAACCAGATACCCAGCAACACAGCCTTCTTCAGCAACTAGATACCCAGCAACACAGCACTCCTCAGCAACCAGATACCCAGCAACACAGCACTCCTCAGCAACCAGATACCCAGCAACACAGCTTTCTTCAGCAACTAGATACCCAGCAACACAGCACTCCTCAGCAACCAGATACCCAGCAACACAGCACTCCTCAGCAACCAGATACCCAGCAACACAGCCTTCGTCAGCAACTAGATACCCAGGAGCACAGCACTCCTCAGCAACCAGTTACCCAGAAACACAGCCTTCTTCAGCAACCAGATACCCAGAAACACAGCCTTCTTCAGCAACCAGATACCGAGCAACACAGCCTTCTTCAGCAACCAGATACCCAACAACACAGCCCTCCTCAGCAACCAGATACCCAGCAACATAGCCCTTCTCAGTAACCAGATACCCAGCAACTCAACCCTCCTCAGCTACCCAGCAACACAGCCTTCTTCAGAAACCAGATACGCAGCAACACAACCCTCCTCAGCTACCCAGCAACACAGCCTTCTTCAGCAACTAGATACCCAGCAACACAGCCTTCTTCAGCAACCAGATACCCAGCAACATGGCCTTCTTCAGCAACCAGATACCCAGCAACACAGCCCTCCTCAGCAACCAGATACCCAGCCACACAACCCTCCTCAGCAACCAGATACCCAGCAACACAACCCTCCTCAGCAACCAGATACCTAGCAACACAACCCACCTCAGCAATACAGCCTTCTTCAGCAACCAGATACCCAGTAACACAACCCTCCTCAGCAACCAGATACCCTGCAACACAGCCATCCTCAGCAACCAGATTACCTGTCTTGACAAGTATGGCTTAACTGTTTGTTGCTCGCCCACAGTATTTGTACTGTAAGCAGGAGGCAGCTGCAGGCCGGGGGGAAATACTAGTACGTTGCAACCTTTCTTCTGGGTTTGGGGAACACATGCATGCACCCCCTGCTGACCCGTGCTGTGATTAGACACAGCACAAGTTTGGCAGCTGATTTTGGCTGAAGTCAGCTGATGGGCTGTGGCCAATCACACAATGAGTTGTGTTTATAAAAAAACACAGAACTCTGTGTATTGTGAACAGCGATCTAGCTGTTTCTTCTCCCTGCTTTGCAAAAAAAAAACCCAAAAAAAACAGACAGACAGATAGTTAAGTAACAGAAGCACACATTACACATTGTCAGGCACACAATTAACCCCTTGATTGCTCCTAGATGTTAACCCTTTCCGACCCAGTGTCATTAGTAGAAGGACAGTGTACAGTATTAGCACTGATCACTCTATTAGTGTCACTATTGATGTTAGTGTCAATCAGTTAGTGTACCTCCCAGCCAGCGCCAGATTGCCCTCCACACTATCACAGTCCCACTATAAGTCACTGAGCCATTACTAGTATAGTGTCATAGCTTCGTAAATTCCAGTATATATACCATCGTTTGTAGATGCTATAACATTTGCACAAATCAATTAATATACACATATTGGAATTTTCTTTTACCAAAAGACATACAGCAGAATAAATTTTGGCATAAAGTAGCGCAGTGCAGAATAGCAAAAAGAGCTCCTTCATGAAGGGGTAAAACCTTTCGGATCTCAAGTGGTTAAATATGTTGTGTACTCTTATACAACAACTAATAATGCTTTAGGTGTGTACTTGAATAGCTGAACAAAGTGAAAAGGTATATAACACTGAAAAAAATGTTCATTTTGATGACAGACATTTGTAGATTTTTTTCAACTAACCTCACTGGATAGGGTTCGGGCTTTGTGTACAACAGGCATAGGCCTCTTTCTTATGTATTGGTGTAAGCAGTCATGAACCTGCAGAAAAGAGTGACATTATGCACTGTATACACAGTAAGAAACTCAGCAGAAAAGGATAAAAAATAAAAAAAAATGAACATACAGACAATTTTGGAACATGGAACCTATTGAGAAGGTTTGTAACATGGCCATGGTAAGTATCAGGTTTCCATGGTATTTTTTTCTGCCATCAATTAAAAAATCTATGGCCTTTAAAATGAACTTTGAAACAGTTTTGTGAATGCACACTTTTTTTAAATGTGTTAAAGAATTCCAGGTTTAAACATAGTTATATTGGTCCAGTTTGGACCATTGTATCTATACATATACCCTACCTGTGAGAACCCCCTGGAAGCTGGAAATCACTGTAGTACTGCTAGCCCAGTGATCTCAGATAGCTACTGGGTCCAATGCTAGTTGCATGGCTTTAGGTTGACCAGTCAACCTAGCCGACTACCTGTGACCTGAGTGACGTGTCTATTCAATGCCCCCTCACTTGATCTTCAGGAGCATGCCTATGTGATGAAGTATGTCCTACAGACTCTGCTCTGCAGGAAGAAGAGGATCTTAAAGCTGAGAGCTGACATCACTTAGACTTCAAAGAAGATTTTCTCCTACAGGAGCTAGGAATTAAAAAAAAGATAAAATGGGGATTCTCTAGGGGGGAGGGTTAGGACAAAAAGACACCCTATGTGCAAAGAAACAAACAGAGGGCACAAGGGCCTAGTACATTACCTTCTACAAATGAGGAAGAGGTTCTGCCTTGAAACGCGTCAGGCATTTAGAGGCTTACAGTCCCCCAACAGTCACCATCTAGGAAGATTGGACCATGCTGTCTGTTTTGTGATGTGCCTTTGATTTTATTCTTTTGTGAGTATACTACTTTCTATTCAATAAATCTCATTTTTTGAAGGTAATGCACTAGGCCTGTGCGCCCTTTGTTTGTTTCTTTGCACACAGCTCCTTTGGATTTCCCTGGTCCATTGAGGGCAGCAAGGCTTGCATTCCCAAAAAGTACTCCATGTGGGGTTACTGACATTGTGGAGCTCATCATCCAGCGTAGGAGTTCCAGCATTCGTTTGCTCATGCTTTTTTTATCAAAAAGACACCCTAGGTTGGGCTAAAACAATAACCTTTCCACGTCAATCTACATATAGCTATGATTTTCTAAAAATGTAAACGTGGCTTCCTTGTACCCTTGGCAGCCAGAATAACTAGAATAAGCCAGATTATCTCATTGCTTTCTCTGATTACTACCCAGGTACTTATCATTTGACTATGACATAAAAATCTCTCCACTTTGCAGTCCGGAAGTATAATTTGAGTGGAATCCATTTGTGTGTCTCAACATAAAGGATAAAGGGTACGATGCTCCAATGGGAAACACCAAAATGCTTGCACTGTATATAACAGAGAAGGAGATAAACTGTTTTTTCCTTCAATAAATGTGGGGATTAAATATGGGTGGACATCAAGCTGGCAAAATGTTTTAATCACAAATCAATGTTTTTCTAGTAAAACAACCAAAATGCTCCACAACATCCGTTAATATGATGTTTATAGAAAGAAAATGTTACATGTTAAACATTTGCATTAAATGGTTTGGACAAATGTATTATTTTAATAGCATATGTCTGTTGAAAAAAAACGTTGCCTGCATGATTTCACCATCCCCTAATAAATATTGCTTATACCTTAAGTAAAGACTGCAGCCATGGAGCCTGGAGTAAACTGTACAGTACTCCAATTCCATTGACATCTCTGTGGTAGAACAGACCCAACTCATCAAGGACCATTGTGAGGATTTGTGAAAGTCCTTGAGAAAAAAATGCAAAAGGTTAGTATATTTTACCAATAGTACAAATCTTAATATTTTACATATCTATTCAATTACAAATGTAAAATTGCATCCCTTATGCCAGGTATTTATCTGATTGTTAAAGAGTTAGAAAATCCACCACGACTTGATTGATGATAAAATGATTTAAGCTTTATTAACCTCTTGGCGCCGGCCGAACACAAATGTGCGGCCTCCCAGCGTCTGGGCCTAGACGCTGAATGGCTGCACATTTGCGTTCTATTAGAAGAAGACATATGTGCTGAGAGCACGCGCCCTGCACGCTCCCAGCACACATCTCCGGTACGCACGGAAAGGTCCCGATCTCCTCTTTCACGTCACGGCGGTCACATGAGTCTAAACCCCGCCCCGCCTCCCGGCTTCTGAAAACCTTAAAGGACTGGGAGGTGCCGGCACCAAGGGGTTAAGTATCCATGCAGACATAAAATATCCATGATATAAAAAGAATGGACACGTTTCTGCCCCAACCTTAGGGCCATATTCGTGATTATGCCATGCAGGTCTCCTGCAGACCTGCCAGAATATCTGCTTTCTCGCACATCCCGTTCGGATATTCTGACAGGAAGCTTCAATGAACTACCAGGGCGCTCCACAACACAGTGGTAGTTCATTGAAAACTACAAGCCAAGACCTGCTAAGGCTGTTGGGGCCAGGGGCGGACTGACCATTTGGAAACTCGGGCACTGAGATGCCCTGGTGCCTTTTTCAAAGGCTTTTTTGAGTTTGGGCAAGGACACAGGGGCCCCATGATCCCCTATTGCCCGGGGGCCCCATGATTTGTCAGTCCGCCCCTGGTTGGGACTTGCAGTTCATTAATTCACGGAAGTCCATGAATTAATGATGCGGCTGTATGAGCGGATTCAAATTTGACAGATAGTACGAGGAAAATGTGGGCAAGTATAGTTTTATGGCAGAAGAGACTCTTTCATGTCTTTTCTGCCTTCAAACCTTTAGCCTTTACTGCTAACATTTTTTTGAATTATACAGTGACTGCAGTACCTGCAGTACCTGCATAGTTCAGAGTAAATTCCTAGCATTTGGAGGATGATGGATGTAAGAACCAATTGCAGGCAGAGGCATATTTACTACATTTTATACAAATAATATGCTTAGTGATAATAATAAATAATATTCTTATTCCCCAAATAATGTATATCAATCATAAAGTCCTGTATCCAAAAGTCCAAAAGTTTGTAAAACCAAAGTCCCCTTCAAACAAAAATTATGTCCAAAAATTGTCCAAGAATGGTGATAAATTCTTCAAAGTTTTGTAAAAGCTTGATTTACCTCAAAATAAAACAAAAATAGAAACCACATAGATGAAACCAGGAGGTTTGAATGTAGATCTAGATTTAAATTGCTTTGTTTCCAATTTTTAACACAAAAGTTTTAGTTATATGCTTGAAACAAAAATTTAAAAAAATTTATTATAATATAAAAGATTGGTATGTGTAGAATATTATGGGTAGATCTATTGGGAATGGATATAGGAGAAAGTTTTTTAAAAAAACAATATAAATGTTAAATTTTAGAATATGGCTAATTTAAATATATTTTAAATAATTTTATGTATTTATGATAAACCTTTTCTTACTATTTATGATTGAGGATGGTATATCCTTAATCATATATATGTTAATAATATAGTATAATTACATATATGTAAGATAGATGGTTTCAATAGGCTATTGTGGACCCTATATAGGGTACTAGGATATATTATGTTAAGGGATATTTTAATAGTTTCATTTATTTTGAGGAGTACATATTGGATAGGAGAGGGCAATATATGGGAAATATACAGAGTGTGGCTCTCAATTTTATAGTATTGATGTTCAATTTATATTATAGAGGGTTGGTGTTCTATTTATATGTGTATATATTATATGAAATATGTTAGGGGAAGTTCCATACATACATATTTTGGAGTATATAATAGATGTATTTTAATAATTTTAATTATATTTAAGATAATTCGGCTACCTTTATAGATGTGAAGTGCTATAAGTAGTATTTGCACATCATTTACATATGATTTAGGTATTTCAATTGTTGAATGATCTTATTGGAGGGTTTAGCTTATATAAGTTTATACTCATGGTGGGCTGAGATCCGCGATTTTTGATCATTGCTATTCCTTAAGACGGATTCCATGCCGGCGTTATTTGATATCTATGTTAGTATATGATGTGGCTTTGAGTCTCCGTCAAAGGCAGAGCGGTGCCCTTTTTAAAGATGGAGATCGCGGCTTCACCATGATGAGAGGAGGAGTATAAAGAAGCGTCTTAGTCTGACAACCACACCCTTTATGATTACGTCCAATGACGAAACGCGTCAGAGGGAAGTGACGTCAGACGCAAACGAGAAACCGGAAGTGAAGCGGCGGCCATCTTAGAGAGTGGAAGTAAGACTGTTTGCAGCGGTTTGGACTCTCCTGGACGGACGGCATTCAGGTTTTTCATACTTTGAAAACATGCGATGAGAAAGATTTTACATTGTAAGCAGCACCAATAAAATTTGTGATCCGAATGTGTAGCGGTATTATACTATATATCTCTTTATGTGTGTATATATATATATCGTTATCGGGATGGCGGTTATGATGGAATTGGTCTGAGGAAATAGTGTGGATGGATCCACATTGGATTATGAGGAGGTGAAAGTGAGGATACTGGCAGAATATTACTCGTCCCATCATACAGCCTACTTGGGGATGTTTATCTAAAGCCTTAAATGATAAACACATTGGTAAGGGTATTCACTCCTTACTGCAGTAGACGTGATTTATGTGTGTGTTATAAGCACTTTAAAGAGTGATTCACCTACACAGCTTTTCACTATACATAGTGTATTGGCACACGTTTGCTGTTTACACGTTTCTGTTTCACTTTGGTGAATTATCACTGGATGAGTTATATGTTATTAATACACTAAGGATAATGCACTATGTGGTTTCTATTTTTGTTTTATTTTGAGGTAAATCAAGCTTTTACAAAACTTTGAAGAATTTATCACCATTCTTGGACAATTTTTGGACATAATTTTTGTTTGAAGGGGACTTTGGTTTTACAACTTTTGGACTTTTGGATACAGGACTTTATGATTGATATACATTATTTGGGGAATAAGAATATTATTTATTATTATCACTAAGCATATTATTTGTATATTGTGTACACCTCTAAGGGTAGGGGTGAAGTGTGCTGACACGGGATATTTTGGGTAGAGTGATTTATTAATAATAATATTTACTACATTTGCCTTGAGCTGCATTTTTCAGAGGGGTGGCACCGCCCCCCCGGAAGAAGGGACACACGTGGCAGGTGATAGAGGATGGGAACCAAGTGAAGCACTGACTGAGCTCTGCTATGGGAATCAAGAGAGGGTGCGGGCTGCTGGAGGGTGTAGGTAGAGTCCGACTCTTGTTCCCACACAAGGACAACACGCATATGCGTCTGGAACACATAGACATCACCAGACGCTGGGTTTCATCCCTGGGGATGCTCTGCCATGCCTCTACTGCAACTGTCTTCAGTTCCTGCTTGTTCTTGGGGCATTTTCCCTTCAGTTTTGTCTTCAGCAAGTGAAATGCATGCTCAATCGGATTCAGGTCAGGTGATTGACTTGGCCATTGCATAACAGTCCACTTCTTTCCCTTAAAAAACTCTTTGGTTGCTTTTGCAGTATGCTTTGGGTCATTGTCCATCCGCACTGTGAAGCGGCGTCCAATGAGTTCTGAAGCATTTGGCTGAATATGAGCAGATAATATTGCCTGAAACACTTCAGAATTCATCCTGCTGCTTTTGTCAGCAGTCACATCATCAATAAATACAATAGAACCAGTTCCATTGGCAGCCATACATGCCCACGCCATGACACTACCACCACCATGCTTCACTGATGAGGTGGTATGCTTAGGATCATGAGCAGTTCCTTTCCTTCTCCACACTCTTCTCTTCCCATCACTCTGGTACAAGTTAATCTTGGTCTCATCTGTCCATAGGATGTTGTTCCAGAACTGTGAAAGCTTTTTTAGATGTCGTTTGGCAAACTCTAATCTGGCCTTCCTGTTTTAGAGGCTCACCAATGGTTTACATCTTGTGGTGAGCCCTCTGTATTCACTCTGGTGAAGTCTTCTCTTGATTGTTGACTTTGACACACATACACCTACCTTCTGGAGAGTGTTCCTGATCTGGCCAACTGTTGTGAAGGGTGTTTTCTTCACCAGGGAAAGAATTCTTCGGTCATCCACCACAGTTGTTTTCCGTGGTCTTCCGGGTCTTTTGGTGTTGCTGAGCTCACTGGTGCGTTCCTTCTTTTTAAGAATGTTCCAAACAGTTATTTTGGCCACGCCTAATGTTTTTGCTATCTCTTTGATGGGTTTGTTTTGTTTTTTCAGCCTAATGATGGCTTGCTTCACTGATAGTGGCAGCTCTTTGGATCTCATCTTGAGAGTTGACAGCAACAGATTCCAAATGCAAATAGCACACTTGAAATGAACTCTGTACCTTTTATCTGCTCATTGTAATTGGGATAATGAGGGAATAACACACACCTGGCCATGGAACAGCTGAGAAGCCAATTGTCCCATTACTTTTGGTCCCTTAACAAGTGGGAGGCACATATGCAAACTGTTGTAATTCCTACACCGTTCACCTGATTTGGATGTAAATACCCTCAAATTAAAGCTGACAGTCTGCAGTTAAAGCTCATCTTGTTTGTTTAATTTCAAATCCATTGTGGTGGTGTATAGAGCTACAAATTTTAAAATTGTGTTGATATCCCAATATTTATGGACCTGACTGTATGTATTCATTAATGAAACATTTAAATGGATTAACTGTAAATTCCTGAATTTCTCTTTTTCATTTTATAAGCTTTCTGATTCCTCTGTACAGCAGTGCCCAGACTCGGAGGGCAGCATTAGAAGCCAATCAGGCTCTACTGCAATACACATGTGCCGATAATATACAGTTAGATCCATATATATTTGGAAACAGGCACAAATTTTATACTTTTGGCTCTATAAGCCACCAGAATAATTTAAAACGAAACAATCCAAATGAATTTGAAGTGCAGACTTTCAGCTTTAATTCAAGAGGTTGAACATAAATATCAAGTACAAATTTTAGGAACTGCAACCATTTTTATACACAGTCCCTCCATTTTCAGGGGCTCAAATGTAATTGGACAAAAGAATATAATCATAAATAAAATGTTTATTTTTAATATTTTGTTGAGAATCCTTTACTGGCAATGACTGCCTGAAGTCTGGAACCCATGGACATTACCAAAG